AACTTTGCTATCGATGACATTCTGGAAACAGCTCTGATAGATGAAGGTGTGAGTCTGTTGCCTGAAGAAAGACTTCTCAACCTTGAGTATGCGGATGATATTGTCAAGAATTTCGTGTAACTAGGTAGCTGCATAAGTGCTGGTGGTGGCTTCAGTGATGTGATCAATGCACGTATAATGAAAGCCAGAGCGGCTTATGCCAATCTGGGCCATCTTTGGCGCCTTTGTGATGTTAGTCTGGCTGTAATAGGTTGGATATACAACGCGTCGGTGAGAGCAGTTTTTCCCTATCCATGTGGAACCTGGCCTCTCCGAGTTGAGGACGTTAGACGACTCTCTGTGTTCGATCATCGCTGTCTCCGAAGGATTGCTGACATCCAGCGGCAACACCATGTTAGTAATGCAGAGGTTCGGTATCGTGTGTTCGGGCAAAGAGATGATAATGCAATTGGTGTCACCATCTTGAAACACCGACTTCGGTGGCTTGGACATGTTCTCCGAATGTCGTCCCAGAGAATTCCACGTCGTGCATTATTTGCCGACTCTGGGACTGGTTGGAAAAAGCGGAGAGTTGGTCAGTATATGACATGGCGTCGTGACATGAAAGAAAGCTGCAAAGGACTAGTATGTGTTGGTCCTTCACGACTCCCTGGTTGGGGTCCTAGAGATGGTGCTACACAGTGGCTAGAGACGTTATCAGATATGGCTCAGAATAGAAGCCAGTGGCGATCCTGCTGTAACCTTCTTTTACTTTCTTCATAAAAATTGTTGTATCTTCCTTACCTGAAAGATTTCTTCTGGTTGTACCCTTCTGTTTCCCTACTATTACTGTTATTATTAATATACTACCTTACACCAACCTCTTCGTTATTGTTTTTTCAAGTTTATTTTTTATTTTTTTACGTTCCTCACTTCTTTTCTCTTAAATTCTCATTGTTTTGTGTGGCGCATATATATTTGGTTCACTCCTGTACCAATATACATATGTTCAAATAAAAAAGATTCAGAATTACAAAACTTAATTTTAGTTGTAGTAAGATGAACATTAGTATTACAGACTGACTGAATGTGTCCAATATCACCACATTTAAAGCACTTAGAATTACGAAGTTTACATGAATTAAAAAGGTGGAACATGCCACAGAACAAACACTGACCAAACTTGTGCCCATCTTCGTGAAATGCAGTGCAACTCCTCAATGAATTACCTGCATTGCCTTGAGTATGCACTGGGTTGGGATGACGTAGTAATGTAGTAGAATTTTTTATATCCTCATGAATCATTTTACGAGATCTCACTCTTTTACCGCATTCAAAATTTGTATAATTAACATAGTCTAGCAGCAGTTCTTTGAGAGTTGTATAAGGAAGCGTGATAGGCTTTTCCGGCATAGCCAGAGTTCTTAATAAGCTGTACGCCTCTTTTCCGATGAATATGAGGAAATGTGCCACAATATTAACATCCTCAGCATCTTCCTTGGTCACAGCCCAGATTTCGAACCTTTCAAAGTAATCCTCAAAAGCTTCAGAAGTTGAACGAATATCTAACTTTTCCATCGCAGGCTTCTTCGCAACGCCAGTATAATATTTGAATTATTTGAATTGTAATATGAAATAGGAATCCCAGAATTAACGCGACTGAATCAAGAACTACGACACAAACACGAACGAATGTATTGTATTTAGAATTCGAAATCGAGCATTACACAAGTACAAAAGAATCATTAGTTAATTCAAACACCACACATTTTTCTGAAAGAACATAGATTTGCGAATCTCACGACTTGCATTGATTTCTCTCAGTCCATGTCGTCTCATGACATCTGTATGCACTGTCACCAATTTTAGCCTTGGCGTTGGGGCATATCAAATTAAAATAACAGAAAAGATCTTATGCCAATAAGTCTAGAACTTCGACAAGACACTGTGAAGAACTCAAATTCCAAGTATGCTGTACGAAATTTTATCGTTTTATTATGGTATGTTCAAGCAACATAAAATATTTAACTGTACAATAAATGTGTTGGTTATTCACTACAGGCTTTCGTCAGAATGATCATGTTGTTTCCTGGACACTTTTCTGTGACTAATTTCAGGCCCTCATAGGAGTGTTCTTTATCATTTTCATTGGTAGGTGAATGGCAATGAATTACATTCGCAGTAATCATTTTCTTCCTTGTTCGAGGGATGCTTCGATAATCCGTGTGTTTCTGATATATTCGTTATCTTTGCATTTGACAAACGGAAACAACTGAATAAAGAGAACCAGCATAGATATATCCTTCTACATCAATCTAAATAAATGAATTAACTAGTAGTAATCAACAATTAGATTATAATTGGGTTGACGGAGATAACTGGGCTGGAATGATGATAGTATTAGATAAATACCATAGACAGAACTATTCGTATTTGACTTGAATTCACATTGACACTGACAATTGGAACCTTTATGATCTGTTCTATAATGGAGGTAAAACTGTCAATAAAAATTCAGCAGATATATTGTATTGAAATATATCCAAAGTTGCCCTAGGCTGGTTTATTTTTATGATGTCTCAAACGATAACACATCTTTAAACAACAGAATACGATCAACAAATAGATAGATAGGCCATTTACCGTCATAACCTCTTTAATTAGATGCTTTTCAGTCTTATGTCATCCCTTTCATTTTAGTAACTCTAAATACGTTTACCTGGTGCAGGTTTTCGTTTCGACAAGTTCAATGAGTCGTTTAACCGATGAACATTGTGAATACCCTGGACAAGCACTTCATGATAACTCCGCCTGTAGCTCTTCTAGAGGTACTACCGGTCCCAAGCCTAGGTTAAGGAGGAGGGTTGGGCATGGAGTTAGCGAGCCCATCCCGTAGAAAACTAACTCGCTAGAAAACACTTACCAGAAAAAAATAATTCAAACCATTTAAACTCTCCCCTGGGAGTTTGAAGGTCTTCATTTAGAAGAAGTATGATCCCTCATGGTGAAAGCCGAGTGTCAAGAGGCTCTGGGTCTAAAGAAATACCATCATAAGGAATGGATCTCTATAGAAACACTGAACAGGATCAAAGAAAGAAAGAACAAGAAGACAGCAAATGACAACAGCCGAACACGAACAGAGTTAGTCCAAGCACAAGCTGAATACATAGAAGCAAACCAGCAAGTGAAAAAGAGAATTAGAGCCGACACAAGAAGTACGTGGAAGAACTAGCAACGACGGCTGAAAAGGCTGCAAGAGAAGGAAATATGAAAAATCTCTCTGATAAAACGAAGAAACTAGCAGGGCAAACCAATCACTGAAATTCAACAACAGCGGAACAGAGGCAGAGGCATTACAATACTGTCAGTAGCAGGGAGCTTTGCTGAACCGGATGAAAGACGCAGTACACGCTCGACCTCGAGATCAACAAGCTGGATTCCATAGGGATCGGTCGTGATCAGACCGAATTGCGACACTACGGATCATCGTCGAACAGTCACTTGAGTGAAGATTGTCACTGTACGTCAACTTCATTAATTATGAAAAGGCGTTTGACAGTGTAGATAAGAGAACGTTATGGAAACTACTTCGACACTACGGAGTTCCTGAGAAGATTGTCAATATTATCCGGAACTCATACGACGGACTACAGTGCAAGGTCATGCATGGAGGACAACTGACAGATGCATTCCAAGTAAGGACCGAAGTCAGACAAGACTGTCTGCTCTCTCTTCCTCTTTCTTCTGGTGGCCGACTGGATTATGAAAACCTCGACATATGAGGGAAAACATGGAATACAATGGACAGCTCAGAATCAACTAGACGATTTGGACTTCGCAGATGACCTGGCCCTTCTATCGCATGCACACAAACAGATGCAGATGAAGACAGCCAGTGTAGCGGCAGTCTCTTCATCAGTAGGCCTCAGCATACACAAAGGGAAAACCAAGGTCCTCAAATTCAAAGCGGAGAACAGCAATCCAATCACTCTTGATGGCGAAACTCTGGAAGATGTAGAATCATTCACATACCTGGGAAGCATCATCGATGAACAAGGAGGTTCAGATGCAGACGTAAAGTCGAGGATTGGCAGAGCAAGGACCACATTCCTACAATTGAAGAACATATGGAACTCAAAACAACGTTCAACCAATATCAAAGTGAGAATCTTCAATACGAACGTCAACACAGTTCTACTGTATGGAGCTGATATGAGGAGAACTACCACAACCATCATCATGAAGGTTCAAGTATTTATAGTTATTTGTCTTCGCAAAATACTCAACATCCATTGGCCGGATACCATCAGCAATAGCCTACTGTGGGAGAGAACAAACCAGCTTCCAGTTGAAGAGGAAATTAGGAAAAGACGATGGAAATGGATAGAACATAGAGTATGGAAATCATGAAACTGCATCACGAGGCAAGCCGTAACTTGGAATCCTGAAGGGAAGCGGAAAAGAGGTGGGCCAAATAACACATTACGTCGGGAGATAGAAGCAGATATGAAAAAGATGAATAACAACTGGACGGAACTGGAAAGGATTGCCCATGGCAGGGTTGAATGGAGAATGTAGGTGGGCAGCCTATGCTCCTTCACGAGGAGTAACAAGCGTAAGGAAAACTTTATACTAAGAGTTAAGTTATATGTTATTGAAGCACCGTTGAATGATCCACTTGCAACGTATGAGACCAAATAACAATAATAAGTTTAGTCGCAACACTCAGAAACTTGGGACATAACACGGAAGAATAGATTGTAGGTACACCTTCCACTCCTTAAAATTAGTCAAATACCGGAATCACCTGATGGCTGAGATGGTACGAGTAACTTCCCGGGGCTCTTTTGAGAGAAAACTTGATATTTTCTCTGGATAGTATCTCGATAGAATTTACTAATTTTATTTTCTCTTCTATCTTTAAATGTGAATAGAGTTTTACCTGAAGGCATCGGTGGTCGATTGTCACGAAATACGGAACCCCACTATGCCAAAGCTCCTTCAATTTCGCACAGATACGTTTGAAACCCTACGGTATGAATTTTTCTTACAAAGACATCGTGTACAACATATACCTAGTGCCATTTGTTGCTTCAAAGGTTTAAGAGGTTATGCGACCGTCTCTTTCAAAATTCAGCACTTTTCAATTTGGTTTTGTTTCAACCCGTCACATAGCAAATCAAGGCCGTCTTCAGACGACTTCATAGGGTCCAGGTGTTTGACAAATGGTAGCTCGCTGTAGTTGGCTGCATTTTTGAATATCATTCAATCGAACATCTTTGGAGATGGTTCTAGGTGGCGATCTCGAGGAAGCTCTTTCGGTATTTGGAGAATTACGAAAAGGCCCCAAAGCCGAATACTATTTTAAATGGTCTGCTCTCAGCTTCGGTTGCTGTTTAACAATCCATCACATCATCAGCCCCTGGATATTCACACGATATAATAAGTTGTATCGAAATCTACCTCGGCCCCATAGGATGGAATGGGATTCACGGTAAGTCGTCGTAACTAGTATACCTAAGACCCACTAGCCTAGTCATATGTCTAATGTAATTACACAATTGCATATGGCTATTGTGTTTGTGTGCTTAGCTTTATTTTTCACTTCAAACCTTAGAAATATGTACCTTGTATGTTACTGAGTCTCGAGTTATTTATAATCAGCCAGATTAGGTTTTAGAAGTGTTATGAAACTCATAATTCTTCACGAAAACCCAAATCACGCAATACTATTGCAGGTTATAGACCCATTCCCATCCCTCTTGGCGAGTACAAAGTAAGTTATATGGTGAAATCACTTTATTTTAGGACTAAGCAACTAATTTAAACTTGTTGTTTTTGTAAAACATAAATCTCCGCGTTATTCCTAGAAAAATATACGCAACGGTTAGTTGGTTACCAGTCATCTTTCTAGAGTATATATCTTTGTCATCAGTATCCTAGAAAAAGCATTTACCTAACCTAATTCTTCAGGTGTCAGTCTCCTTAACGAGCAGTAATCGATAGTACAGGATTAGGTTGGAAAAAATGTTAAGTACTCTCAAATCCAAATGCAGCATCAATCAATGAAGCTATTGACCGTTGGTCTGAGGCAAGTAGGTAGGCACAGACTGCTTTGTCAGGGTTTGTGGAAACTCATCAATAATTGGAGACGTTCTACGACATAACTCAAAACTGCGTTTTTTAATCTTATCCATCTTGGATTCCATTATCTCTTTATACATACCTTCCAAATATCTTTTCAAATTATATTTCTTAGGTTCAACCACTTCTTTTTATTATATCTAATACATTATTTCTATTTCAGTACAGTACTGAGTATTAGTTTGTTCTGCCCACTTTTCTTTAGTTCAACAGTTCATTTTTGGAAGTTTTAAGTATGTGTGTAATCAGATTGTGCACCGTTTTTAACTATCACTTGTTGAAATTGTTGTAATATGTACTGGTCTGCTTTTCGAACTCGGAATACACTATAGATTTCGTGCTTTATACAATTTGATGTTTTCTGATGTGAGATAATCAAAACCCAGTTCTAAAGGACATCGATTTATTATATTTCAAGTATAAATAATTCTAAACTATTTTTCTTGGTTTCAGTGTAGTATCGTCAATACATGCGACTATTGTTAGCATTCTGTGTGTTACAGCGCTAGTTACCAATGCTGATCTGTGGTATAATCCAGCTATGTAAGTAATCTGTGTCGTTTACAGTTGTTTCGATTTTTTTGTTTGGATTTGATAATTATTATTTACTAACGTTTAAAATTTGCTTAGGAAAGTTTACCGTATGGAAATAACTTGCACTTTTGCCTGTACTACAGTCTACTATTCTAAAATACAAAATCTGTTTAGCTCTTTCGTGTGAATATTTCGATTGACAAATAAATGTCACTTAATACATTTAAGTACATCGAATGCCACTTAGAGTTTCGTGCATTATATTGATGCCATGATTTCTGTTCTTTTTCATAATTAACGAGTCATATTTTTCGCATCACTTCGCGTCACTGGACTTGAGGATATGACTGCATTTAAAACTAGTTGCAAGACAAGAAACACCTGTTTGCGGGAAATCTGCGTAAGAAACCTCAGTGTGTAAAAATTTAGCTAGCTTGTTACCATTAACTTGCTCGTCCACCGTTTTGCAGTAATACGATCGTTAAGGTTTTCTGAGTCTGTCCCTCACTGTTTGACGAATGCTTATGTGCAAGATTGATTTTCCAATGTCAATCAGCCGCGGCACCATGTTTTAAATCAAGTAACGTTTGGTGATTCTTACTTGATTAAAGTTCTATTCTACATACTGTGAACACAAGTATCTCGAAAACCTTCCTTACTTTCACCGCAGCCTCCTGGTTTAGTGCTAGCGAAGGCAGATATACATAAACATACATCCTGTTACGAATGTGTGTTGGTTCAAGTTGCAATACCTGATTGGGACAACGTAAAAATAACAACAGAAATAGAAATGATGTACTAGATATAGTAAAAATGGTGTTTAAATCTTAGAAATATGGTTTGAAAAGATAATTGAAAGATATATATGAAGGGATAATAAAATCCAAGATCAATATGATTGAAAAATGGACAATTTTGAGCCATGTCATGTCACTCTCAACATTCATCTGTGATCAAAAACCTTCAACATATGAACATTTACTTTCATAAAAATTGTTTCACAGCCATAAAGTAGAATAGAGCGGACTGTTGCGCTATTTGTTTGGGAGACGGACTTCTCACCAACGCCACAGGTGATACTAGGTTACCATGTACTAATTGGACTTTTGGAATCCATGTCATCAAAACTTCTAAAGTCAGAGTGAACAGTAATCATCTTCAGATTGACTTAATTGGTAAATCACATAAATTTGGAGACAATTGGTATCTCTAATGAATAAAATCATATATTATTAGTCTAAATGTTTACTTTCTAGATTGGTTGTTTGAAACTTGTACAACGTGCCATCAGTATAACTTAAAATTTCACCCAACTTATTTGTTAGGCTAGATTGGTTAATAAATAGTCTCATCCCTGTATCTAAATGTGATTGTTGTTTCATTTTTCTGACATAGCTATTGTTAAGACATAACTACTTATTATTACTCCTCAATTATCAAACACTTAATTTATTAACGATTTTCCCCAGTTCGTTTATTAAATGTTTTCTTTAGACAATATACCTTATGTGATCTAGTCACTTAGTTACTTTATTGCTATATATTTTACTATCGGCCGTACAATATCTACTTCTTTGGTTTATAGCTTAACAATTTCATCTTGCCTTTCTAGTATGTAGGAAGTTTTACCAATGCTTGTATGTATTAGGTTCTAAGTGACTAAATTAGCGGTCATGATGATAGTTATGACGAGGGGTTAGTTAGGAAGAAACCAGAATTTACCCAAGTTACTCTTTTTGGTTTCGTATATATGGTAAAACTGAGTGAAATAAAACAGTAGGAAATGGAGTGGATAAATATATTATTCACTTGTTCTTATCATAACAATACTTTTTACATGTATTTCCTTTCTCATATTCTCTTCAAAAGAAGCGTAGCTCATTCTGGTCTTATGGCACTATCGATTTCCATTGGTTACTTTTTATGTGGTAAGTTTGAAGTTTTATTTGAAGAATATCTTATAAGTAAATTTAATTTATGCTCTGCTGGAAAATGAGGCATATAAGTTTAACGGAGTGGGTGATAACCTTATCTCCATACCATATAGCAGGTTTAAATACTCATTATTAACGACCGATTTGACGTTCAATTTGTTGGATTAAACTGTCATTATGTGACAAAATTGAGTGTTTCACATATGCATAAAATATCGAACACCCATACCTCTATACCACATTTGTTTTCATAACAAACGTTTTTCTAAAGACTGTCGGTATTCGTTTTGAGTATGCTATTAAGCCGATATCCTAAATCCTATTAATAGTTTTCCGCAACGTTAAAATTACTGCAATAATGAGGAGACAGTAACAGTATCAGAGATAACAGGAAAAATTAGGCACAGAAGATGACTCGAAGAGAAAATATAATTTAACGAAATAAAAACAAATGGTTTCTGAGAAATTTATAATTTCGATGAGGACAAAGAATTTATGCAAACGATTTCGAGCCATGTCATTCAAGGTCTTCAGCCATTGGTTACAATATTATGTGGACCCGAACCAGGTGGTCTACACTTATTAAAATGGTTTGGTCCGATTGTCAATGACTTCATAGACTGATGCCATGTTTTGTTTTGGCCGCCCCTGGCTTTCTTCCAGCTTACTCCTGCACCAGAAAACATCGCTCGTCGAGGTAGATAGTGGTTAGGCATACGTAACACATGTCCCGACCACTTCAGGTAATGAAGACTTACTACCTGATTAATCAACTTCCCATCTTTACCCAGTACTCTCTTCCTAATCAAGGCATTGGCTACTCCGTGGTCCTAAAATACATCAGCAATGCTTCGAAGACACCTATGGTCGAATACCAGTAATCTACGAGCATTATCTACTCTAAATAATTATATTTCACATGTATAAAGTGGAGCTGAGTGAACTGCTGTACAGTGAACTCCTTTGGTTGGAAGATGGATATCTCTTCACTCCAGAAGTGACAAAGTTACCAAAAGTCAATCGAGCCTTCTTAATCTGTGTCGAGATTTTGTCAGACACCAGACTATCAGTAGTGATGAGACTCCCAAAATAAGTGAGGCAGTCAATGCGTTTAACTACTTCACTCCTTATCACTAATTCAGGTGGTGACATAAGCCAATCCTGAAGTAACATCTTGCATTTGGATGGAGAGAGCCGGATTCCGAACATGCATGCATCGTTGGTTAATGTGGTCAGAAAACATTTCGTTTTCTCATCGTCTTCACTGAACAGAACTGTATCGTTTGTGTATTCTAAGCTAACAAGTGAGTTCCTCGGTAGACCATTCCATGAAAGGTCAGACGATGAAAGCGTTGTCTCTAAAAGCATGTCTATGACAACGTTAAATATAAATGAAGCGAACAACCCTGTCAAACACCAGTTGAATGAAACAGTTTCGATGACAGTTCGGCATAAGCTCTGTTTCGATTAGTAGTGTTCGAGTAAAAAGCCTGCACAAGGCTAGTTTACTTTAGTACGCACTACATTATCAAACACTTTCACAAAACCTGGTCAATGGAGTCGAACGCTGCCTCAAGGTCAAAAAATATAATTATAGTGGGACGTTGAAAAGTATGTCTATGTTCCAAAATCTGCCGAAAGGTGAATATTTGGCTAATACATCCACGTTCAGGTAAGAAACCAGCTTGATTTTCTGAATTTGCTCTTCACAAGCTGTAGTTATACGTTCAAGTATTATTGGGGCCACTACATTAGTTAAACTGATTTCTCTGTGATTATCATTAGAGGGTTTTTGTTCTTTCTTATAGACTGGGACGACCAGTGATGAAGACCAGTCAGATGGGATCAAGTCCACCTCTCCGATTTTAGCTAAGATTGTTAATCTAGATGCTAGAACCACTATCCTTAAAAATCTCAGTAGTTAGTCCACCAGGTCCTGCTGCTCTCTTTCGTTTTACATTACTTGTGGCTTTTTCAACCTCACTAAGAGTTAGAGGACCTACATCAATTTGCCATTCAGGTTGCTTGGAGATAGTGAGTGACTAAAGTGTTGTTAAAGGTCACTTAAAATGTGCCCTTAAGTTTTCTGTCCATCGGTTCAATTCCCTGGATTAAGAGTGAATAATAGTCCTGTCTTTTTCCGTGATATTTTCTAGAATAGCCGGATTTTTAATACCCGTTCCCTTAATAAGTTTGAGCAATTATTAATTAGCTGATGTTACCTATCGTCGTTGCTTTTTCCATCTCTTCTAGTTTGCCTACCCACCAATGCTCACAATCATTACATAGGCTTTTGATCAGGCTATGTTTAAGCTGCCTCCGCTCCTCATTGTGCTTGGAGCCAGACGGGATGAGTTTCAGAGCATCTATCAGTTCTACAGATCTCCCTGAAATCTACTAATTTTTCCCAACCTTTTGATTTAAGTTACTAGCAAACATGACTGGTATTTCCATGGCTTTTTGGATATCATATTAAGGTACTTCGTGGTAGATATCATTTTCGCGATTGATTACCTCCTTATGCAGTTGATCCTGAAATATTATCCCAATGTTTTCACCAATAAGTTTAACCTGAAGTGATTTTCTTACGTTCTGTAAGAGGCAGACAAATACATGCTTGAACTAGGGCATGATCCGAGTTCGCTCACATGCTCCGAAATAAGCGAGTTTTCAGTCGAGCCCCTCCAACGATGGCTAATAGCAATATATTAAAGTCCATCGGTCAGTTGATTGTGAAGGTCGCGACGTCAGATGATGTTTGTCCTTATGTTTAAAGTTGGTGTTTGCCGCAAATGGATGGTTACCTGAGCATAGTTGCAACAGTCGCCATTATCTGTTCTCTGAGCCTCAACAATGTAAAACCCGCTTAAGTAAAAATTAAAATAACCTGCTATGATTACTGCATCAGAGAGTGTATCTTTTTGAAGGAGGTTGGATGGTTTCCTATATAATTTATTTTTAGCTTCATTCAAGCTACAATCAGTGGGAGCGTAGGCTTAGTCAACGAAAAGGCAACGGCATGTGTCCCCATCTTTTCGACTTCATACTGTCTCGTTTAGTCGAACAGCACACGAGCGACCGTCTTTCGGAATCCAGTCTAACAGAGCCTGTTCTGCTTTTAGATTTAATATCATACGTACCCCAGCGAAGCCGCAGGAAATTGGAGTGGGGTTTACAGAATGTCGAAGGTTAAATCCTGACAGTTCCTTGTATATTTACAAGGTGAGGTCAAATGTACTATATTTGGATCGCGTATGAGCGTTTCGGAGACGCAGCATACATTTATGGCACAAAATTCTAGAATCCTAGCTAAAGAATCCTATTGTGTACTCTGACACAACGTTCGAAAATTAAAAGCTCTAACTTGTAGTTTACAGCGTGGTTTAAGGTGACCAGGAATAACTTTTCATAAAGTGGAATCCTTAGGATTGGTTGCGTGGTGATATATATATATATATATATATATATATATACGAGAAAGGTTAGTCGTATGGGAGAGACTAGTAGGGAATTTGATCGTAAATAGAATGACCCTGAGTACTGTTAGAGACACAAAGGCAGTCTCTACTTTCCGGTTACCCATGCCATAAAAAGAGACTGGGTTTAAGGACCTGGAATGTGACCTCAGGACTTATGAGACAACTGCTTGAATCCGGTCACTCACGACCATTTTATGGAAAGTTTTTGATGTATCAGATCCTCACTTCATAAGGCTTTACCGCCGGAGACGGAAATCCGTGGGTGTAAAGTGAGGTGTGAGATTTTCAGGGTCAACCTCTTATATCATCGTCCTTCCGTTGTGAGGGGGCATCGGTACAGATGCTGGTTGTCCAAGGGAAATGCTTTACTACTGTTGTTATAATTTCTTTTATTACGACCCAGCTACTCCTATTACTTAGTATTATTGGAAACTAATTCACTCGACAAGTCCCCAAATCAAAACACGTTTGGACAGGGACGAAATTATATCCCAAATAACAAGGGTTGATGGAAGTAGGAATTACGATAAGGAAAACGTCAGTATATTTATAGCTTTTACACGAGAAGATTCTAGAGTCTTCTCCAAGCATCCGCTAGCGCTGATTGGTTAAGAGATTGCCGTATGACTTCGCCCTTGGGCATTAAGTTGCTGTTTTTGATCTTACTGTTCTCCAACCGACCTGCCTGGGATTGCAGGACCTAAAGGAACATGTGTTCCTACCACTATAGCCTAATTGAGTCATTACCACAGACAAACCCAACCATCACATCAAGGTAGCAGCTACAGTTGTATAGTATGTGACCCATCCTGTCTCTTCATGTGTATCTAGAATATTGCATTACTCACTTGTTATTTCAGTTGAATTCATAATCAAATAAACTTGGTCTAAACATCTTCCATTTTATCAAAACTCTGCAGCTGTAAAATAGTGGAGTGGCTAATCATTTCTCGATAGCCGATAGTATATCTTTTGGAACCATGGGTATTAAATTTCTGTAAATATAAATAAGCTTTCCGTATATTTTCTATAATGTTTCCGGTGGCAAGCACCAAGAGAAATCTCCTTGTCAGTTTCTGTATGCACTAGTTTTTCTTGATCTTATGAAAGTTTTCAGAGTATTAATATTCGAGTTTACTATAGCTAGTTCTATTCACCGTCTTCATTTTACTCCTATGTGTTGCACATACAATTCCGTTTCTCATAAAACTAATTTCTTCCATCAATTTCACGTGTTGCGAAAATGTTATGCTGTCAACCTATTAAGTTTATAAAATAACAGAAAAATGACGAATTGTTTACTGTACATGAAAATTATTATATCTGTTCAGGTGTCATTAGATTTTAATTGTTACATTCAATTTTTTGTTAGCCTGTAAAAGAGAACTTCTAATAACTTAATAAACAAGGTCAAATGTGTATTATATCACTGACGTCACTGCAATAAGTTGCTGTCTATTCATTTCTGTCAAATCGGCAAACGATAACATTAGTTTAACATGATATGTATTATGTGGTTCTAATCTGTGATTAAAAATTGAACTACTAGAGCTCAAATAAATTCCACTCATTTCTCTGTGTACTGATAGATATCACTGTTTGCAAATAAGTCCACCCATTAATTGTAGTTTTTAGCTTATATAATCATATTCTTTAGTTGTGTTAATGTTCTAAAAAAATTGTCGACTACTTGTTTTTTTAGATGCTATTTCTATGCCATTCTATTGGCGAAATAACCAGTTAATCATATTTCTTCTGCATCATGCGGCCGCATGTTTAGCATTTTTCTATGTTGTGGTAAATCAGCAATGTTATCACTTTTGCTATTAGTGTTATTAATTATAAATACAATTTATTTCGTCTCTTGGTTATTTGCTTTTCCTAGAAATTAAATCATTTACCATTAGTTAATGGATATTTTAAAATTTTTTTATTGGGATTAGAATAACACAAAGTAACATATTATAGGGTTTTCATAATAGGTTTTGATTGTTTACTAGCTTCGCTTTCGAATGACAGGAATGACTTATTAGTTCTTATCATCCTGCGATATCATTGAAATATTTCAGAGCAAAACGAAAGTAAGAAATCGATGGATAGTCTTGAAGGAATTTGGTATTATCTTCTGACATATACCTCTTGATAGAGTTTGATAAGTCTAAGACCTACCTTGAAAGTGAATAAGCATTAATATATATATATATATATATATATATATATGTATATATATATATATATATGTATATATATATATCTTATTTTTTAGAAATTTCTGTCAATTTCATTGACATCTAGTTGATTTTTTGTTATTCAACTAAATAAAATTTTATTTTCCTCTACTTTAGCGATATCGAGCCTGCGTATTTTTTGGTGTTTATCGACTTACAACCGAGCTATCTACACCTTTCGTCAACCAAAGGTATCTACTTATATCATTTCATTCTGTTTTACTTAATTTTAAGTATAAGTTTTGTTTGTAAAATTCATAATCAGAAACAGGAATGACCACAGTTACGAAATGTCTGACTGTGAATTCCCGTTAAAATGTAAAACATTCAAATATAGGTTGGTCAAGAATCAGTGCTGGATATCAACAACAAGCAAATGCCAGACCTTTACTAACAATAATGTCTAATTTCATTACTGTTATCAACCATATGAAGGATAAAGTTATTGTATGTGAATGGAAGTAGTAGTAACTGCTTTTAAGTGTTACTTCCTGAATATTGTATATTTTGTATTACTTTATGAATCAATTACTTATCCAGTGTAATATTGAACCAATATACCAATATACATTTTGTTATCATTATTAAATGTTGTAGCAAGTCTTCCTTTAGGAAAGAAAGTTCTAACTGAATTTAGTCTGTTATATGATTATATGTAACTCATTCACCAAGCACATATTTGTGTTCTGGGCTTCTTTGCGTCAGAATTTTTTTGTGAGAGTTAGTAATACTACCTGAATATTCAAACGAACTAACTTAATGTCCGATTCTCCATTCCCCTAAATTAAGGTTGCGCATGTTAACCCCTATATCGCCACTTCACGCTTATTAATTTGTTATTTAAATACATAGATATTAGTACAAGGAGGCACCAAATACATATGCACCACACATATCTCATTTGATATGTGTGAGGGTTGTGATACTGCCCCGGTGCCCAAACCGAAGCAGGTGGTTTTCTTAAGAGGCCACACCCGGAGCCTTCAACCTGAAGGTCTGATCCAAAAGGCAGTGAAGCAACGTAATTAGAATCTGTCCCATGGTAGCCGGTGACCAACGATTGGTTAATACGCCGTTTGTTCCTTCAGGATACTGGAGCCCATGTTCACCATTGGTTTGGAATCAGGGTTTTCCAACTCTCCTAGTTGGACACTCCGTGTCCACCACCCCGGTTAAAACGCCAGTTTCGTAAACAACAGTAATGCCACGAGAAGGCAGTGAGTAGGACTTCCATGGCAGAGGCTATATACGCGTGGCCATGTGAGAGCATTTCAAGAGGGAGAGCGGACTCTCCCCACTCTCGGCCGTATCAGGGCATTTGGAGGCTTCGCACAATGCTGTCTGAAAAAAACCTCACATATGTTTGTAGTTAAAGATTCGAATCCAGTGAATGATTTCAAATTACTATTCAGCTTTATTAATGAAATATTGTTAGTCCTTCTCAATAGTATTGATTCTAAGTATTTTTTTCATATGTTTTGCGTGTCACGGTTTTGATTGAAGTTTCCTTGGTAAAACCTGTTTTTCCATTTAAAACCCTTACTTCTATTATCACTGAAAGGTGGAAAAATGTTTACAGTGAACAAATTATTTTTTATTTACCAAAATGTATTGTAGGTGTAGTACTCTATGCGAGCTAAAAAATATTTCAGAATGATTTTCAACAAAAATCCACGATTTGTTTGAAATATACATAAAAAGTAAATACTGTCAGGAGAAGAAAAATTAAAATGATATACATATATATACACTTGATACCAAATTACGTAGAACGACAGAGGGCCCAGACCTTTTCGCACATCTAAACTCAGTTACCATTCAAAGTTGTTGATTATTAAACGCCTCACTTATCCAAGTTCTACCTATGTCTTTTGTGAACAATTCTGCTTGGTCATGGGTAATATTATGAAGTACCACTAATATTATCTGATTGTATACGAGTTCTGTAGTCATATATTTTTGTCCCCCCTTCGCCATCAGGTTTCATTACGTTAACGATCAGTTTGCCAACTGAAGTTTAAAGACTGATAAAACGATTTGATAACAACTTATCTACTTAAGTGCGGTATACATATGTAAGCTGTTAATTAAATTTGAATGCTTTAACCAAAGGGGTATAACTTCATATGTTGTTCCTCGTACCACATCAGTACATATTTATCAAATTAGCTGAGATTCCTTCTCTACAAATAATATAAAAAACATATTCTAGATTGTCAGTTATCGCATCAATTTTTTGAACATTTCTTTCAGTAATTCATAATAATAATGACCAACCTGTAAGATTTAATCATATTTTGAAATTATCTTTGTAGGTGGTTCTATCGTACTATTGGTTACAAACCTGATCGCCGAAGAGTCGCATGCGTAACTTTGATATTTGCGATTTTTTTTATCATAACACGTAATCTAATGATTCTACCATTTTGGTTTATAGCCTATATATCTTACGGATCTGATGTTCAACAAATTTGTGCTAGATCTTTTCCACTTATTGTTCCTATTTTCGTATGTAGTTGCGGATTACTTGATTGTTTAAATATCCATTGGGCTTTTCGTACTTGTCGTCTTGGCTATAAAGCTGCTAAACTATTATGGACTGCAGATTGGCAAAGTGATATTTGTAAAGCTCGAGCACATTTACACAAACGTTTACGTAATCTCCAACAACGTGTTGTCTTTAAAGCTAAAAATGATACGAGTTTAAAACCAACATTGATAGAAAACCATCATAGTAATACTTCATTGAGTGAACAAATCAGCAGTGGACTATCCTCATCGAATTATTCTACTTCCGATAGTGAACTGGAGTCAGTTTATTCAGATTTAGATTTTAAAGTAACTCCTGAAAATGATAAAGATTTGACTATATCTAATTCTATTTATCCAAATTCATCACAAAATCTCATTGATGATGATATTAAATTAGTTCATCGATCGTGAAAAAATAATAGGTTCTAAATTCTTTAATTTGATTTTATGTATAAACTATTTGTCAGTTTTACTGTTTTGCAAACAAGATCCTGCCAGTTATTGCATCACATAAAAAAAAGAAAGTAAATTTCTTCAATAATTATTCTGTATAGTTCGTATAGATTATTTTTAGATCAACATGGAAAGTATCATTTTTTGTTGTTATGTAAAAAAAGAACTCATTTTATTCTTACTATTTACCTTCAAAGTTGTTATAATTTATATTATTTTTTTAAAGAAAAGATAAGTTAAATATAGTCGATCATTTAATACTAGTTCTTGTTAAATAATTATCATAACTTAATTATATATAAATTGCTTTCTCGGCTTTTGTTTATTTTTCCCTCATGAGTAAAGAAATCACAAATGTATTAAACGCTTTCCTTTCCCTTTTGAAGAAAAAAAAACATCTCGTTAAAAAAATAGTCTGCGTCAACCTCGAGTTTTATAAATAGAAAATCAAGAAGTTGAACGCACTAACCACTTTCCTTTTGATGGTTTTCTTAGTTTTGAGTGGTCGGTAATTGAATAAACCTTGATACATACGAAGATTGATTCAGCTTTTGTTCATTCCTGTCACCTGTTGAGCAGATGATATGTTCGTTTGCCCATCAGAAAGGTAGTGTATAGCATAGAAGCCTTTTCTGTATCGATATAGTCGTGAAAAATTACCTATGAAACAAGAAGAAATGTGTTGTCTATCTGTGCTTGACCGTAAAACACTTTAGATCGCTTTTTGTATATGGTGGAGCTGCCGAGTAAGTAATGAGATTACTTAATAGAAATGATAAACTAATTGATAACCTTGTGAATCTTTATTGATTGGTTGGTTAAGGTTAAATGTCTAACTGCGTTATTTCAATGTGCAGTGGTACCAATATAAACGTTGTTCACACGTAAATGCGACATTAATCTGTATGTTTATTGATCGTTAAATTAAGCTGCATCGATAAATACCTAGTTCCTTGTTCGAATTCATAAAACGATCTCCAAACATGGTTTGATGTAGTAAATGCATTGACTGAAAATCGTTCTTATTTACATATATTTGCTTATTCTCTATATTTTCTCCAATTTGATTATTAGTTTGTAATTCTTATTTTCCTGTTTGTTCGTTCATTTCGAAATATATTTCTGATGTAACAATTCAAGCATCGACTAACAGAATTCATAATGTCATTGAGTGTACTCTGTTACTTCTAACGGTTCACAAATCTTACACTCCTATCACAATCTTTATGAGTTATACAGTATTTCGCTACTGATCGACGATTGTCTGGTTGTAAGGAAAATATTTACTATATGGTGTGATTGTAGTTGATAAATTGGAATTTGAGGATTATAATTCCTATCCATTTAAATGGTTCACCTTGAACACGAGGATCCCTAGTTCTGTTTAGTGTGTGAGAGTGGTCGTCAATTCCTGGCTGCCCACACTGTAGAAAGATCTGAAAATGAGACTCGTTTATTAATGGATTTAGTGACTTGGGAACGTGACAGTAGGTGCCTTTACTCTTTGTCTTCCTTTAGATCCCAAGTTTCAAAACCACCCATGAGTCCTCTTGGTTCTATCACTTCTCGAATGGATGCCTAACTTTTCCTATTACCATTAATACTGTTGCTACTCTGAGGTTCGCCCTCACAATGTCATCTCTTTGTGTTCATGGTCCGTCGCAACTTGAACCTATGTCTACACGTACCAAGTTGTACATTACGTTTGACTGACCAAGATGGTTTACCTTCTTTTCAGGTAGTTGAATGACGTTGTTGCGGTTGGACAAATTTTAGTCGAATTACCAGTTACTTAGTGTAACGGTATTAACAGATTTTTGGTTGATTTAAAAGGTATGGAAAGATGTTAAATGTTGTCTTATATACACTTTCTTGTCGGCCGATAAAATTATTTAATTTTTGTAAACTATCGATTGATGGTATCTGGTCACTTGATTACAGTAAAGTCTATTCAGCCTGGAATGAATGTTAAACTATTCAGTTTTTGCATTTTTATGTATACGACCTTTGTAGGTCACTCCAACCACTTAAAATTATTTCCAAGTTAATTCAAATCGATCAATAATGATGATAAATTGTATCAAACTCATGTCTGATGGAAATAACTATAATATTGGTGACTGTACTCTTTAATATCCGGAAATTCATGAAGTTTGCGCTAAGGCTGTTATCCTAGTTTATATGATACGTGCAACGTTTAGTAACTAGTCTCTAAAAATGTAATAGGTTATGTCAGCGAGATATCCAAACTAATAAATATGGTCAGGATTTACTCTATAATGCTATTGAATTGATGATAAAAAGTAGAGTTATTATTTATTGTTCATTGATCGCTACTGAATAGTGACCAATATCATGCTTGTCTAGTGCTTTCACTCCTGCTTCTGTCGATAAACTCCAGTTTGGCTACTGGTCTTAGTGCCTCAACGTCGCGTGCATTATGTTGAGATATCGGGTGGTTGGAGATAGCCGTCAGGAAACCCTAAACTTGGGTTATATGCTATTCAGCACTCCACTAGGGAGCGAAAGTTCCCTCAGGATTACACGTACACCTTGCTGACGAGTGCCTACTGGTACAAGATCTAGGTCTAGGGTTTCATTTTGACTACATTAAAGCAGCTAACAGAATCGCTATTGTTAGTTATACATTAAGCTTGACTCTTCAAAGTCATGTATAGTGAACTAGGAGTTACTACGTATAGTAAGAAAAATAACTTATTTGATGTGTAATCCAACAAAGGAGAATAAATTAACTGTAATGAAGGGACAGATATTTAAGAAGTGAAGAGGATTTTGTAATGTACTGTATGTACTTTATGAGTAGGTTTATTCATATTAAGGTTTATAGATTTATGTCGCCATTCACTTCTCAAACATGCGAATATGACAATTGGTTCTAGATTCAAGTGGAACATATAAATTAAAATGATAGAATGGTACTGTTTCGAATTCTTCTAATCCTTTGTGATGTCCTTTTCAGCCATATAGGTTGGTAAATCAGATTGGCTTATCCAGAGACACACAGTTAGAATGTCACAAATACCGGGCACAATAGCTGTTTCTATCATACACTTTCTTGGTCGTGTTTTCTATCCAGTGATTCGGACCATTTATCGACCATATAGCAGTCGCTGATTATCTCTTGTCGTGGGTAACACCTGACATCCATTTCACGGTCAGTGATTCATCTCTGTATTGTCTTTCTGTGCATTGTTTTTGTATGTGAAGGTGGTTTTAGTCAAAGAATTTTGTTCCCAGTTCAAATCCGCTGTGATTTGGTTAAATTTCTCAAAATTCTGTGGGTGGCAAGTCTATACATATTTCGTCACCCATACTTTCGTCTTCTAGACTCAGTTAGTTTTTGACTGGGTGCTTGTACTCACCAGGTAAGGATATTACCATCGTATTTGACCCGTGATCATTTCTAAGATGATGGATGAAATATTCGTTTACAGTTCTCGTTAGCACATTTATATGTTAGATCTCTTTCCAATTATGGATGATAATTTCAGTTTGTTTAGGCTTCATGTTAAACTCTTGAGACTTAGTCGAAGGCTTTAGTCAAGTCAACAAATGTGCATATTATTTATGTTTTATTGTCTGTTGTGTATTGTGTTATATGTCTAACTTCAGTTATCTCTTGCATCGTTGACTTATCATTACTGAGTCCGAACTGTGTGTGCGACAATAACTCGTCTGTCTTTTCGTTCAAACGTTTGTGAACCATTCCAGGAAAACTTTTCCAATCGTGTGTTGTAAAAAATATTTCTATAGTTTTTATATATGCTTAGTACGTTAGCGTCAACCCAGTGTGATAATGTTATGCCTGTTTTTTTTCTAATTTCACCGTTTCTGTCATTCCATCACCACCAGGAGTTTTATTGTTTTTCATTTTTAGCATATCTGATTCAAAATCGCCCAAAGTATAGGGGAGTATCAGGTTTACCAGTTTGTCTTTCTATGCTTATCGTGCAACCTATCGCATTAAGCAGTTTTTGATCATGTTCTTTTAGCAGACTTTAAATTGTTCGTTGTTTCTTTCAATAATTATTATAACTTCTATTTTTCATTGTTTGATGGTGGTTCTTCTATTGGAATAGTGTTTCGGATCACCATCCCCGTTGTTTTTTTTGTATATACTTTTACCTTACCTTTTTTAATCATTTTGTTAACTTTGATTTTCTTTGTATTATATAATTTACGATTGTGGTCTATTGACCGATTTAGTCGTCACTTCTGCAGTAGTTTCTTATTTCCTCTCTTAATTGATAGCTCACTATCTTCTAGCATTCGTTATTTGTTAGCTTTTTACTAATTTGTTGCAAGTTTTCATTTGTGATACTTACGATGGCTTATTCTGTTTGGTTCAAATCGAAATCTAATTCTTCCGCTAGGCCTTTAGTGTACTCTTCTGGGTCAATTTCTCACTTTTTTGTCCTGACTTCCTTTCTTTTTTGGGCTTTTTATTTTTTCAATTTGTCCATAATGCTCATTTTTCATTGGCTATGACTAGGTAGTGGCGAATATTCACTTCAGCAGACCTTTTATCTATGTCATGAATCAAGAAGTCTTCTCTCTGATAATACCCTGTTTATCACAGAACTTCTGTTTGTACCTGAATCAATCATCCTTAAACACTCACAACGATTGTCGTATAGAAGGGAATAATATATCCAAGGATAAATTATCGATATATTGGTTGTTACAGAACCAACGACGCAAGTTAAAACATTTATCTGTAGCTACTCGGATGTCAATGCATTGTCGGTTGACTTTTATAAAACAGTCAACCTACACACCTATTGAAATTGTATATGCTACTTAAAATAATATTGAAGAATGTTACCACTTCACTTCATTATTTTTCTTTGCATATAATCTGTAATTGCTTAAGTGAGATGGAGTGTATAAACACTTCCTAAAAATTAGGGATATTTTACAGTCTGAAATTTAATAATATTATTTATATTTGCCCCTTGACAATCTCTGTGTACCATTTTCTGAATATGAATGTCAGTTATCAATACATTTTTGAATATCAAAATATTAGATGTGGCATTTCTATAATGAATTGGATAATTCAAAATATCCTGACAGAATATTGTATGTATTTTCGCCTTAAAATTTAACTATATTAATCTCCAATGGGTGATATGATGCTAATATGCCTTCTAAGTTGAATAAAATCTTGTTAAAACTATATTATATAAATATGGAAATTGGATAAATATTCCTAGTATTCCATTATAGCCTAATAAGTAAGTTAGTTATCTACTTTATCTCCTATTTTGAAGTAGTTTTCATTGTTATAAACTGAAATCAGTTTGAGAAATTCTGAAAACTCGAAGCTAATGTACAGTTTCTTTTCTCTAATTTAGAATTGCTCTTTAAAGCTCAATTACAATTCCACTAGGAATGGTACTTTTGATTTACAGAAACCTTTATGAGTTAAGTAGATTTTAGCTAATGGGTTTAAATTCACTAGTGGTGATATAGTTACTTCAATCAATTCATGAATATGTTGTGACCATCATTCGATATTACCAGTTCTACCTATTTCACTCATTTAACGGTTGAGCCCCATCTGTCGCAACTTTACACTAAATCTTTAGGAATTTATTTCATTGTTACACATTCAATAAAAACGCGATTATTGTCTCAGTCAAGTCGCTGTGGATATTTGCTTTTTATCTTCTTTAAAAAATGAAGTAACTCAAAGTGATATTAATGCTAATATTCTCTTTTGCAGCTCAATAGATTGACATCTATGAACTTTTTGTCTACTGGAAGAATAAGTAGAATACAATTTAACATATACCCTGTACCAACAAACGTTTGCTAATTCAATTCCTTACATCATTATGCATGAATTACGTACGCCTATTATCCCTCATGGAGGAGAATAGGCCGCCCATCATCATTCTCCATCCAACCCTGTCCTGGACAATCCTTTCCAGTTACTATTAATCCTTTTCGTATCTGCTTCTACTTCTCGATGCAGTGTGTTCTTCAGCCTTCCTCTTTTCAATTTCCCTTCAGGATTTCAAGTTGCCACTTGCCTCGTGATGCAGTTTGGTGATTTCTGTAATGTATAGCCTTCCCACTCCCAACATCTTTTCCTAACTTCCTCTTCATTCGGAATGTGGTTTGTTCTCTCTCCACAGTAGGTTGTTGCATGATTTAATTGGGTTTTTTTGGCGAGACTATAATTTATAGATGAACCAACTAGATTTACAATAACAGATCATGGATTTTGATGCAAGGTTCATTCATCCATTTGGCTAAATTTGTGTTTTGGCATTTTAACTGATGTCAATTCATGATGAAAATCATAAATCTAGTTTCTAACCTCAACCATCAACTATAAATCATAGATTTATAACCCATATTTGACTCTCCTAATAAATTGATGAACATTATCACTTTAGAATTGTTCATAATTCATGATCTCATTGGTTTTTCTTTTCTAATAACTGTTTTCAATAATAATTTTTAAAGTTTTACACTTGGTAACTAATTATTAAATCATATCTTTTATTATTTTTAAAGTTTAATATAAGATTCAATTCACTTGATATTGTTTTACTTGAATCTTCCCATTGATGTTTTAGAACTGAAATTGATCAGTCTCTTATTGGCATATGTGGCTATCAGGACTCAGTAGCTAAGTGGATAACGCGATAGCGTTTGAAGCGAACGGTACTGAGTTCGAGTCCCGGAGTGGACATCAACTCTGAGATGCAGGTACATCCAGCTGACGA